AAAAAAAACCAGATTTGTCATCTACTTCTTATTCAACCTCACCAGTGCAGTAGTTATCCAATCTGTAGGCCAAAATCTTACTCAGTTTTCTGAATGTATTGGAATTGCCACCTGCACCTCCCTGCCCTTCACGCAGAAGCCTGGTTTGCCGCAAAAAATGTTCCTGTAACCCAGTAATAGAGGTAATTGAAGCCACCCAGCAGACAGTCCTGTCAAGGGAAGCTATACTATCCTTAAAAATAATTGTGTCCCTCTCAGCAAAATACAGTGTTTGGAGTAAGTATGCACTTTTTATTGGGAGAAAAATATCATCCAGTCTGCTCAACTTTTTAAAACAATGTTATATTTTTCCACATCATCATTCTGGCATCAAAGGAAATCATTCCTAATTATGTTTATGGAGGGAATACACAAAGAGACCTAGATATGACAGTCTTGGAGAAGTGTGGAGAAATGTATAATGCAACACCTCTCAGAACATATACAATGCCATCTCTCCCCATGTCACTTACCTAGAACAAGAAACTTTGAAGTATAAGAAGTTCTGCTGCTGCAAGGTGCTTTAAGTGACAGCAAGAAGGAAACAAACAACTGGCTGTAAATATTCTGCTTAGCTCCCCTATGCTGGGACTTGCAAAAGAAAATAGGTGGTTTTAAAGCAAAGTGAAACAAACAATAATTACCACTGTTCCCCAAGGTATGACAGGAGCATGAAAAGTAAAGCACTGCTGTTGTGTTTTTGATGGTGCCCTACACCATGCTGTTCTGCTCTCCAGCTATTTCCTTTGAAGGAAAAAAACAGGTTCAAAAGTGTTCTAGCATCTGTGATGGCTTATCTGGAGCTGCCAAAGCCCAACAATGAGGCTTCATCGCTTGTATAAGTTTTTTTGGGGATCATCCTTGTGTTTCTTCACATGCCAACGAGGTTATGAGGGGTAGGATTCCTCTTGACTAGTTTCAGCCCACTCCAAAGCAGACATAGGGTATCATCTCACCCCCCTCTGTAAATAGCAGGCTAAGACAGGCACCTCCTGTCATGAAAGGCATGAACTTTTTCCCTTTGGAGGAAAGATGGGAGCTATGGTCCTCCAGAGGTACCTGCTTTCCCTAGTTACTGCACTACTGTAGCAAACATCACATCTACAAAAACTCCACCAGACAGATGCATGAGACAGAAGACAGGACTGCACCTAGACCCAGCTGAAGCAGAAACACCTTGATGAATTTTGACTGGTCTTTCTGTGGACACAATAAAAGGATGGTGAAAGTCTTTGAATAGTCTTAGGGGTTTTAACAACTCAAGACATGCACCTTTCTCACAAGAGCAACAACTCCTGTTTGTTCTTGCTTTCCTCAAAAGTAATAGTGTTTTCTGGAGAAAACCTTGGATTTCAGGACTGTCCAAACACTGATCCTAGCACTTCCAGAGCAAAGCATAAGCACTTTGCTTCAGCTCTTTCCCAGTTACTTAGCTGTTACACTTTTCACTGTATTGCTTGTGTTGGTACCTTTCCTGAAATATAAAGCTGCTAGAAGCCAAATTTCTGCTCCCATCTCACAGAAGTTCTCACTTCCAAAACCCCAACAAACACCTATTGTTTTTCTCCCGGAAGATGTAGCACCTCCACCCTAATCCATCATCCAGATGATGACTTCTGGCTGTTGTGCCTTCGTTTTGCTTGTGGTACCAGAACATTTTGCTCCTTTCTCCCAGCCAAGTGCACAGTCAGAACAGTCGTGCCTAATGCACCTGAGGTCAGCACGGACAGACACACAAAAGTACAGCACTTCTGCACTTCCACCCAGATCAGCCAAGTGCTGTATTCTTCTCAATGGCCTCCTCAAGGGCTTTTGGAAGCTATAAGCACACAAACCAGCCTGTCCCTGCAACGTGAGACAAACAGTAAGAATCTTCACACCACATGTTACAGGTCACCCTGTTTTGTGAACTTTTTGGAGGGAGAAAAACAAATAAAGTGGCATGCAGCAGCACCCATTACTTGGGGATTTTATCACACAGGTCATCAACCAGCTATCAGGCAGTGTGCAACCCCCAGTAAAGTTCAACCAGCAACCTCAGGATAGAAGACTATATTCTGGTTACCTCAGATAACTAATTCCCTGTGGAATATTTTCTAAAGATACAACACATTATTTATTTTGTTAGCTGAAACTGCTTTATAAAAGAGTCATTTCAACAAAACAATCTAGTTCTACAAACTCAACAATGCATTTTCCAACTAGTTTATTTTAAGAATTTGTCACCTGACAAAAGCAAGCTATTCTTCACCTTAAGGAAACAGCTCATTTATCAAACCACAGTAATTTCTTGTACAGTGCATTTATTCCTGCTGCATACACATTCAAATAAACCTCCTACATCAGCATTCCCAAATGAAACTCTGACTAGCATCATTAACTCTGGGTCAGTATTGAGTGCAGCTGACCCCAACCAACTCTGCCTGCAGCAATTGAAGTAGCTCTCCACACCACGCAGCCTCACGGTGCTGATGGTCAGTAGCACTAGCTTCCCCACATCACAGTTAAGTCAGCAGCATTTCCTAGCTCATCCTTCAGGAGTGCCAAAGAGGCTGTGTCGCATCCCCATCTGCCCTTGTCACCATTGGAAGGCAGAGCCAATAAATCCCGTCAGGATCAAGCCAGCATCTACTCAGCACATCTGCAGACAAAGTAACTCACTCTCTTTTCCTCCTGCCCCACTCTACACCAAAGCTTTTAGCATCACAGATATGGGTCAAGAGAAGAAAATTAAATTTACCACTTTGTTTTCTATTCACTTAAAGCAGGGATACAATTGGAAGTGACATTTGTGAAAGGCTACCGAAGCCTAGTTAACCTGTTCTCAAGGCTGAGGAACTTGCTGGATCAAGAGGGAACTAAAGGTAGCAGAGGCAGTAATTGCAGTAAGACCCCTGCCCTCCTTCATGCGAACTATATTTCTCCCTCTCTTCTTTCCCATCTGCTTTTTCTTCTTTTCCCCCTCCCTCTTGCACACACCAGGCCAGCAACTGTGCTCAACACCAGCTAGATTGGAACTCATTCCTGTCATCTCAGAATCATGCTATTGTTAAGGCTGGAAAAGGATTCCAAGATGACCAAATCCAACCATTTACCGTGTCACACAACTGAAAGCAGAGACACAGAACCCCGGCACACCACCATGAGAATGAACATTACCTGCCACATGGCAACAGATTACACAGGAAGAAAGGAGGAAGAAAAAAAAAGAAAGAAGGGAAAAGGGAAGGAAAAAAAAAGAGGAAGTGACAAATCTTTCAACAATACACCTTGGAACTGGTTTCTCCAGTAACTGGTTAAAGAGTTACTAGCTTCCTCTTCTCTGAGATAATGCCTTCTGTTTAGAAAAAATATTGCAAGAATATACTCCACGAGGAGTCAAGAGCATATTGCATCTCAACCACACGCACAACTGAAGTGCCTGAATTAGAAACGTAGCAGGCCTCAGGTTTCTGTTACAGCCCACTCGAAACAAGAAGCATGTTCTGAACACACCTCCTCCCTGTTAAGCACAGCCCTACAAACAGCAAGACTTAAAATTTTACAAATACCACCAAAGTGGCATAAGTCAGGGACTAAATACAAATTAGCTCCCCTGCGCAAGAAAAGGCTTTATTTCAAAGCCAACGTGACCATCTAAAGCATGCATGTGATGGAGCACAGTCAAAGTCTGACCCTGTCAGATCACTCAAAATGCAAGATACTTGAAGCACTTGAATGCAAAGTAACTTTCAAAGCTTGAGGCAATGCACAAGCTTGCTCCTGCTTTGTGCCAGGGTCAGCACTTGCAGCTAAGGAGCCTGTGCCATTACACAGTCTTTTGCATTATATGGAAAGCTTGTCCAAAAAACATGTCCAGATGGCCACTGAAGGTAACAGAAGTCCATAGAGCACCTGACCAGAAAGATACATTTCTGCCTGCTCTTTCCAAGTTCTCATTGTATTTGCCTCTAACTCGGAGACAGCAGACAGTCAAGCATCAGCGAGTGAACGAATGGTTTCAAGAGGCATTGCTGTGCCACTGCAGAGGGTCCCACATGACACCAGCATTGCCATGCATGACCACAACTTCAACACTTGTCCCTGTGGCTTAGCACAGTCCACAGAGCTGGGCAAAGGGAGGCAGGATAGGGTATCCACTAGTTCAGCTGATGTTGGACTTCACCATGCAGTTGCTGCTCATGCACAAAGTAGCGGTTGCAAACGACCACAGACAAGTGAGCCGGCTAACTCGTGAACCTTCAGCACCATTATCATCAGCTCTTCGGCCCAGATCTGCAGCCTCTCTAGAGCTGCAAATGCCTTTCTGTTACGACTCCATGCAGCACCTACCAAAAGACCACCTTGCTCCAAAACTAAGGTATCTAGCCACTGACAACAGAGCTAACTAGCAATTTCCTATGTAGTCTCAATCTTCCTCTCCAGCCTTAGCTACATACAAATTTCCTCTTAAGGATTTTTAGTGGGTTCCCTTGCTCCACCCCATCTGCTACCCACACTGACACATACATATGCAGAACACGGTAAGACCCCATCTGTTAGAACAGCTGCCTGCAAAGCACTGACAGTCCAAATGGACATAATTCCCTGTCCTGCTCACAGGAGCAGGTTCGGGAGCAGCAGGCTGCAAGAACTCCAGGGATACGGGCCTGGCCATGAGCCCCATGGGCGATACCCCCGTTCTCGGTAAATTCTCAGTCTCTTTTGCAATCTGACGAAGGAAGCAAAGCACAGCATGGCAGCCCCTCGGGAGCCACCCTGGCTACGGGGAAGGGCGTCAGGGACACGGCCCAGGGTCTCTCCTCGGCACCTGGGCCTTCACCTCCAACACAGCACGTTCCCTGCTCGCACCGCAGAGAAGACAGGCCGGGCCGGGAGCGCGCAGCGCCGCGCCGCGCCCGCCGCACCGCGCAAAATGGACGCACCGCGAGGGGCCCCCGCCCGCTCCGTCCCAGACTCACCCAGCCGGGGGGCTCGGGCAAGCGGCGAGGCAGCGCAGCCGCGACCCCCAGCTCCCCGCTGCCGCTTTAGATCTCCTGCGCGGGCCCGCCCGCCCGGCCGTACCTCCCAATGAATGGGAGGCGCTGTTCCACGTGGGAAGCGCTCTACATGCAGAGATGGGGGGGTGGGCTGATGATGGAGGGGGGCGCCGGCGTGTGGGAGGCCGGCGCATGGCCAGGCGCGGGAGAACCGCGTGGCTGGGCACGGCCGCGGAGATCGCCTCCACGGGGCAGGGAGGGGCTGGACAGGCCAGCTCCCTGCACACCGCTCATGCCGCGCCTTTGGCGTGGACTGAAAAGCTACTCGGTTTTTCTTCTTCTCCTCACGCTCCCTGATGTCTCACTCCCTGGGAGTGAGAACTGAGAGGCTGGGTTCGACTAAAACATCCATTCAGCTGTAACACACATCCTGCTCTAAGAGCTGATGGATTCTGCAGAACGTGGTTGAGCAAGAGATGCCAGCGTGAAATGGATGCAGTTGGCATCATAGAATGTTAAGGGCTGGGAATGGACCTTAAAGGTCATCCAGTCCTAAACTCTCCTGCTGTGGGCAGGGACACCTCCCAGTCCACCAGGTTGCTCAAAGCATTATCCAGTGTGTCCTTGAAGACTGCCAGGGTTGCGGTAACCACAGTCTCCCCGGGCAACCTCTTCCAATGTTTCACCACCCTCAGAGTAAAAAAATTCTTTCTAATATTTAACTTAAATTCCTCCCTTTTCAATTTTTACCCATTACTTCTTGTCCTATCACTACAGTTCCTGATGAAAAGTCCCTTACCAGCTACCCTGTAGGCCCCCCCAAAGATACTGGAAGGCTCCTCTGAGGTCTCCACACAAACTTTTCTCCAGGCTGAACAGCCTCTGATAAGGACAGTAGAACAGTATTTCACTAACTTGATAAGGAACAACACTTTACTTCTTACCAAGGACAGTAAAACAGAACAGCACAGCCTTGGAGAAATAAATAAAGGATGTAACTTAGGCAAACAGAAGTCATGCAAAACGCAAGCAGGGTGCCAGCTCAGCTCTGCAAGGCTGAAATAGTAGAAGTTAAGCAAAACAATGGTGCTGTACTTAATCAAAAACAGGGATCAAAGAATAGCCCCCCGAAAAGGACACTGGACTTTAATGACGGACCCCAAAGACCCAACAGAAGGACTTAGATAACGATTGTGACTGTGTAGAATAAAGTCAAGGAAATGGGGATAGCTAATGAAAATGTAAACAACATTTATGATAAAAACTGTACACCTGACAGTCGGGGCATCAATTAGAGGAAATATCCTCCAAATGCCCAGCATGCTGTAATAAAGAATGCCTGCTATCTAATACTCAGAACTGTGCTAGAAAGTTTCTATCCAGCTAATTGTGGTACCACGTCTCTCTATCTGTCTTCACAGGAGAGGTGTCTGTCATGGTTTACAAGACACATGTCTGCTAGGGAAGGCAGAAAAACCTCCCTTGGAACAGAGAATATAAACCCCTTCCCTCCGAATTCTTAGAATCTTGAAATTAAGGGGCTCTCAGACGAAGATATGGGAATAGGAATAACAGTTCTTTACTGGTATGTATAATAAAGCAAACAAACGACAACGACGTCGGCACTGACACCGAACAGAACCCCAACCCAGTCGCAGCTTTTCGGCCGCGGCGCTTTCCCTTCGGAGCAGTTCCGGGCACGGCCGGCAGGGGCGCTGCCTCCCCCGCGCCTGCAGGGGGCGCTGTGGCGCGGGCTCAGGGAGCACGCGGCAATGGCGGCAAGGCCCAGACGGAAGGGATGGAGGAGCGGCTTTGCTCCACAAACCCCTGGGGGCTGCCGATCTCGGCGACCCTAACAGGACTCTCAGAAGCAGCAGGCTGCAAAGGGCAGGAATGAGCAGAAATCCTGGGACAGTGAGCAAGAATGTCCCAAAACTCCACGGCAAAAAGCTGGAACCTGCGGGTGTCCTGGCAGGGCAGGGGAATGCAGGGAGCCCAGCAGCAGCAGAAAGGTTCCCCGCTGGGTCACGGTGGTGGTAGGAGAAGGCAGCAGGGATGAAGCCTCACAGCGGTGGTGAATCCTCTCCACAATGACTGCAGCCTGTCTCCCCTCCGTGCTGAGACAGCAAGAGCCAGCCAGGAACTGTCCTCAGCCCCTTCTCTCAGCCTGAATCTCCTGGTATCTCCACCCCACCCCGAAAAACTCCCAAAAACTAAAGAGTTCCCCTTCCCCACCTGTCTCAAGCCATCAGTTCTGATTAGCAACTCAGTAGGAAGAAATTTACAGGTTCCTACAGGTTTCCACAGGAAAGAACAGAAAAAACCAAAACCTAACCCCCAACAGTGTCCCAGTCTTCATACTAACTTTGTGACCACCCTTTGGACTTGCTTCAACTGTTCCATGACCTTTTTATGTTGGAGACACCAAAACTGTACACAGCACTCCAGGTGGGGTCTGACAAGAGCAGAGTACAGGTGAGAATCACCCTCAGCCTGCTGGCCATGATGCTTTTGGTGCAGCCCAGGATTCAATCATGGTAGACACTGGTGGACTTGGATTAGGCTTTTGGCATTACCTCCTATGAAGCACAATGCTCCCAGTCTGGAAAATACACTGTTGATGAGACTTCCATGGCTGACCCCAAAACTATGGCAAACAGCCCAAAAGAGCAGTGGATGTTGGAAGAACAGCATGGTGTCTGAGCCATGCTTTACAAGATCCCATTTCCATTACCATTCATAAGAGATCACTATGGGAAAACTGTCCAGTGTGCTGCAGGATGAGATAACATCTGAACATGAATCTTGAAGAAACATCAAGATTCAAACTGTCCAAAATAAAGTGGAACCTAGAACCTAGAACCAGACAAGATGGTTTTGGACAGGTGGCTTTGGCATTTCCTCATGAGTAGCTCAGACACCACACCAGCTGTTGCAGATTTTAGCCCCCAGAATCTGACTTTCATTTATGTGACAAACGCCAATCACTTGTTTTTAAAATTTTTAAAAGTTTAATCATAATAAAATGGTTAAAACAATAGTAATATAGTTAGAGTAATAAAATTTGAACAGTTGAGATTAGGACAATATGAGACAATAAAAACAAAGGGATACAGACGTCCGGGTACCTTTTTCTGGGCAACACAAGCCCGAAAAAGGACACATGTTAACAGAGGATTAACCCTTAAAAACAATCACCTGTTGCACATTCATACACCTCATACCTGATGCATAAATTCCATTCAAACACAGGACTTTGTCTGGTAATCTTCAACACCTCCTCTTAATCCTAACGGCATCTTTTTGACTGAAAAAAGCAGGAAGAAGTTAGTTTTCTGCTGATAAAGAAGCAATAAATTCTCTTTCTCTGAAAGATTTAGGTGTCTTGTGGCTGCTATCTGGTGCGAGTCCTTTCTTTAAAAAAGTATCTTACATAGCATAGTTTCTATTTTAGCATTATGTTATAACCTAAAACTATACTTAACACACTACTTAAGAAAATTAATACAGCATAACTTTTTAACATAACACATACAATATTCATTTTAATACTTGCAAAAAGCCAATCATAAAATACACATTTTTCACAATTTACTAGCCAGAAGAATAAGACATCTTCCTTAGCATTGTACATTTTGTTCCCAGATCTAAATTAACTTCCTGGCATTTCAAGACTGTGTACCCCCCCCTAGGTCTGGCCCTTGATGATCCAAAGTGTAATCCAAATACTGTGTTTGATCTCAGCGTCCTACTCTGTACACAGCAGCCCCACTTCCTCCTTTTTAAATTTTATTTCTATTTATACAGTTAACAGACCTTTCCGCATCCATCTTCACAGATCTTTGCAAGGTCTAACACAGCTTGACTTTTGGCATTTGATGCTATATTCCTAAAGTTTTTGACCTTCAAAACATAGCTGCGTAGACTGACTGACCTCTTTATCTGTTCCCACAGAGTGTTTACACCTAGCATCCTTCCTTGAACAGTCAGTTATCCAGGTAACTCTGGAGAACGTCCTTGTTAGTCTTCCCTGTGTTTAGCATACAAATTCCAGAAGGATTTTCTACCTCTGATGTAAAATCTCATACACACTCATATGCAACCCCAGAGCTTGTCAAATTGATTAACTCCAGTCACTACTTTTCTTAAATTTATGTTTTCCCTGTGGAAAAACAAATAAACAAACAAGCAAAGCCCAGAAAGATATTTTTTAACCTCTTCCCCATTCTACTGAAATGCTATCAACACTCTGATCCAATTTTTTTCTTATTGTAAGTAGTTCTTCTATAATATGTTCACTACCAAAACTACATTCCAAATACATGCCCTTTTTCTTGTGGAGATACACAAGTGTAATACCACATCCCTTATTCTTGAGTTTGCAACTCTGACTCACATTGAGCTGTTGCCCACCATGACCCCCAGATCCCTTTCTGCAGGGCTGCTTTCCAGCCACTCCTGCCCCAGTTTATACTTGTGTCTGGCATTACTTTGTCCCAGATGCACAATCTGGTATTTGGAGTTGTTAAATTTCATGCTACAAATCATAGCCCAGTGTTCCAATCTCTGTAGATCCCCCTCCGCAAAGCTCCCTGCTCCTCAAAAAGCCAAAAGCACCTCCCAGTTTGGTATCACCAGCAAACTCAGTAAAGGTGCACTGCACTCCTGCATCCCGATCATTGGGAAGTACAGGAACAGGACTGGCCCTGGAACTGATCCCTGAGGAGCACTGCTGGGGACTGGTCACCAGCTGGATGTAGCCCCCTTCACTTTACAGCCCTTTGAGCTCTGCCCTTCAGCCAGTCCTTCACGCAGGACGGACTGGTTTTACATGCCATGTTCTCCCATACTCACATCTTGTTTCTGTGGTCCTCCTACATTGCTCACATAGACCCTCTGCACCCTCTTCACAGAACGGGTCAGGCTGGAAGGGACCACAGTGGAGCATCGGGTCCAGCCTCTCTGCTCAAGCAGGGTCTTCCTAAACCACATGGCACAGTATTGCAACCAAAAAGCTTGAATAATCTCCGGCAAGAATATTTTTTTCTGCTGCTTCTCTTTA